TTCCGGCTGTGGAAGCCTCATGGAGCTGCAGCGGCTATGCGGCATGGTGCGGGCTCTGCAGAAGGGGGTTGGGAGCCACGAGACTCACCCATTCCTCCTTGGGAATCCTTGAATTCCTGTTGTTGAGCCTCGATCTTCACTGAGGGCCAGTCATCAACTGTTTAAGTGTTCAATTATCAATAAACTGAAGTCTGTAGGAGGCCATAATGGCCCTGCTTTAAGTGGTTTGCTGCTCCCGCAGCTCACCACGCTGTCTCTGCCTCCACCGCTATCTTGGATCTCCAATACACTGTTTTATTAGAAGTAAATTAAGTCATCACTATAAAAGCTTAATAGAGAATTATCCAGAAGTTGTAATAATAAATTCAAAGATAATTTAACTGTAAGTAATAGTTTTAAAAGTCTGTTCAGGTGACTGGAATTCCTCCTTGAAGCCTTGCTGTTGTTTGAGTTGGCCATACTTATGGCGAACTTATGAACAATAGATCTGAACTCTACCTTCCTGTACCATCCTTATCATCTCTGATATGCTTAAGTCCTTTGTTACAGTCATTTTAACAGTCATCCACATCTTGGAGGGTCTTCTTCTCCTTAGCTGACTTTCCATCTTTCCAAAGCCTTTCCAAGGACCACCTCCTCCTAACAACATGCCCAAAATACATTGAAATGAAGCTTCACCATCCTCACCTCTAAGGAACACTCTGGTTGCCCCAAGACCTATTTGTTTGTTCTTTTGGCAGTCCATGGGGTATTCAGTACTATTCTCCAATACCATGACTCACAGGCATTGATTCTTCTACTGTCATCCTTATTCATTGTCCAACTTTTAGATGTATAGCAAGTAACTGGAAAAAAAAATCATGGTATGAATCAGGTGCACCTTAGTCTTTAAACTGACATCATTTCTCCTTAACACTTTGGAGATACCCTTATCAGTAGATTTACCCAACACAGTAAATCTTTCAATTTTTTACTTCTGGCACCAAGTGTGTTGATTGTGCAAGATGAATCACTGACAACTTCAATATTTTCTCCATTATCTTGGTGTTGATTATCTGCTCTATGGTTAGGATTTTTGTTTTCTTAATGTTGAGATACAACCCATCTTGAAGGCTGTGGTCCTTCATCTTCTGCAGCAAGTGTTTCAAGTCTTCTTCACTTTTCAGTGAGCAAGGTTGTGTAACCAGCATTAACAGTTTGTTAATGGGTCTTCCTCCAATCCCGATGCCACATTTTTCTTCACAGAGCTCACTCTCGAATTATTTGCTTAGCATAGTGAACAGACTGGAGAAAGGGCACAACCCTGATGCATCTCTCTCTTGATTTTTAAAACATGCTGTGTTTCCTTGCTCTTTTTGGATGACAGCTTCTTGGTCTAAGTCCAGCTTTTTCATAAGCACAATTAAATGTTCTGGGATTCTCCTTCTCAATGTTTGCCATAATTTATCAAGATACAGTCAAAAACTTTTGGATAGTCAAGAAAACACAAGCAGGCATTCTTCTGATATTCTTTGCTTTCAGCCAAAATCCATTTGACATCAGCAACGATATCCTGGTGTCATGGACTCTTCTAAACTTAGCTCTCTGTTGATGTCAAAGCAGTGCATATAACATAGTCAAGATGTGGAAAGAGAAAATTCTTCCTGCTCTAGTAATTGAAAGGTCCAGGTTTGTAGCTTAAAGGTCACAAACCAAGGTTGTCATCTGAAGAGTGTGGGTTTTCAGTCGACTTGAGCTGCTACAGGAATATAAGAATGACAGGCTGTTGTTGTTGATGATTGCCATCGAGTCGAGCATGACTCATAGCGACCCTATGAACAAGGCCTGAAGCCTTTCTCTATCATCATTTATCAAAGTTCACTGAGTTTCCAGAGGCATGTGGTTTAGGAAACGGATGTTGTTGTTCAAGTGCCATCGAATAACTGACTGACAGTGATGTTATGAACCTTCCCCTCTCCTGCACCATCCTCATTCTCTGCCATGCTCAAGCTCGTTCATGCAGTCACTGTATTAATCCATCTTGTTGAAGTTCTCCTTCTCTTTTGCTGATCAATCATGATTTCTTTTTTCAAGAACTGAGTTCCTCCTAACAACCTGCCCAAGAGATGAAGTTTCACCATCCTTGCCTCCAACACTGGTTGCACTTTGCGACACGAGATTTTTGTTGTTGTTGTTTTGGAAATTCAGTGGTTATGTGCTGTCAAGTCAGGACCAACTCACAGCTGACCCTTCAGTGAGTTTTGCCTGTTTTTGTGGTTAATTGCCATCAAGTTGAGTATGACCCATAGCGACCCCATAAACAAGATGGTCTATCCTGTGCCATCATCACACTTTCTGACACATTAGCGCCCACTGAGGCAGTCACTGTGTTAATTCACCTGGTCAAGGGTCTTCTGCTTTGCTGACCTTCTACCCTTCCAAGCATCGTGTCCATCTCCTAGCAACATGGCCAAAGTTTGTGAGGTGGAGCCTCCTCATTCTTGCCTCCAAAGAGCATTTCAGCTGCACCCTCTCCAAGATATATTTGTTCTTCTGACAGTCTATGGGATGTTCAGTGCTCTTCTCCAACATCACAGCTCAAGACATCAATTCTTCTGTCACTATTCAGTATCCAGCTCTCATATGTGTAGCAAGTGATGAAAAAGACCATGGCCTAAATCAGATGCACCTTCGTCCTCAAACTGACATCACTACTCCTCAATAATTTGGAGCGGTCTCTAACTGCACTTTCCCAGTACAATACAGCTCCTAATTTCCTTACTGCTGGAACCAAGGGTGTTAACTGTGGATCCTAGCAAGATGAAGTTGTTAAGTTTCAACCTTTCCTCCACCCATCATGATGGAGTGGGTTTTTCGCTGCTGTCAATTGTACAGGAAACGGCTCATCCTGAAGCAGCTGGGGGATTCAAACTGTATGCCTTTGGGTTGGCAGTGCAATTCCATTCAGTACTTTTTATCAATACTACAATTCAAATGGGACTGTGGGCATTAAGTGCAGTGAATGGGGCCAAGATAAAAATCTTCTGCCTTCATGGAGCCCTAAAACTCTTTTAACTCACCGACCCTGCCTGCCAGACTTCTGGAACTGTTACCACCAGAGCTTCCTTCTCCCACTCATTTAAGGCATTAATTCATCTTTCTGCTCTTGCATGGATTTAACACTCTTAGGTAACTTGGGGTTGCTGTGAAGCTGAACACTATGACACTGATGTGTCAAATGCAAGAATGGTTACTAATGGTGGATGGTGTAGCTCTCCAATTTTGGAGAAATGGTGAAAGTTATACAAGTGTTCAGGTCTTTCGCTCACAGGGTCACTATGAGTCATCTACGATTTGATGGCACTTAACAACTTAACTTTCTTTTACTGTCCTCTCCAGACAACATGCCCAAATATGAGACATAGCTTTGCCCTCCTCAGCTCCAAGGAGCACGCTGGCCATACTTTTCCCAAGACTTATCTGTTTATTCTTTGGCCACCCATGGGATACTCAGGACTCTTCTCCAAAACAACTCAATGACATCAATAAATCTTTTTATCTGTTGATTCCATTCCTCTAAGATGTTTTAATGTTTCACTTTATTAAAAGTAAACTAAGACACAGCACTTTCCTCTTCTTCTTTCACCCCATCACAAACAGTTTTCAGATATAACACTTAGCCATCATTCGGTTCTAATTTTGTTTCTTGGACTTGACTCAACTTTCTCATTTCAAATGACTCTAAAGTATAACTTGTGTGAATTGAGTCAATCTCTTCGGAGGCCGGGGACACCCTTGTCCTCTCTGGGTTTTACTGTGACTAGAAGGGGAACTTTAATTCCAAGTTCTTGGAGGCATCTTACTGTTGCCATGAATCATTACCCAGACATTAAATTTTATTATTTCTATCTTTCAAGGAATGAAAAAATTGTTACTTTTAAAAAAATCTGTTTGTGGTATGCAGAATATATCCTGGAAAAGAAACATTGCTGGAGCACTCCTTAGAAGCAAGGACAGTGACTTCATCACACATACTCTGAACACACCGTCAGGAGGTTACCATGTTCAGACCACTTAAAAGATTCTTCAGGATCAATCTAGACTGAATACAAAAATAGAAAGTGAGCAGATTGACTAATGATAGGGTAGAACTTGAAGAGGAGGACGACTCAGAATTCCAGCCATATTGCACTGGAAACCAAGGAGAGCAGAAGCAAAGTTGAGAAGAGCGGGTCTGGTTAAGGGTGACTCACTCAGAAAGTCCTCACTCACTAATAGGAGGCATTGGTTACTACAGAGTTGCCAGAGCAAACAAATCTTCCTGGGGAGATTAGATGTAGCTCATTTAATATATTACCTATAGAACAAAATAAAGACTTGGAGTATCAAAGATGGAGTTATTCACTGAAAGTACACCACATATGCATGACAGAAACAGAAAAGGCAGGTGCAATTTGTTTCATTGAGCATTTGTAGACACAAAAATTGCATCACAAAAATCTTATCAATAAAAAGTTTAATTTTTTAAAAAGTTTAAACCATATTAAAATTTAAATAAGAAACTAAAAAGTGAAAACAAATCACTTCTATCAGTTTAATTTCCTAAGCTTAATAATGTACAAACTCTTCTGCCCTCACAGAAGGATGCAAAAATCAGCAACAGTGAAACTGGAATATTAAAAATAATATGATGCAAGATGCTTAACTAAAAAAGATGAAATGACATTTTATCTGGTAGCATCTTACCAGTGTTCTTAGTAGACAAGAATTTAAAACAATCAAAGAATTCCATTTCATCAACTCCACAATCAACTAAAAGTTTCATTTAACTCTAAGGTGAATTAAAATAGCAGGCATTATTATATCCAGCATACCAGTGATATACAGTCCAGAACAAATGACCTGCCCATTTGGGGCAAAAGTTATCTTCTCTTTAAGGACAAGTGCTTTCGCTTCTTTTTTCCACTTGTGTCATAATTTCCAAAAAATTTCTCCAGCTAATATCTTGATGGTTTAAATCCCTACATGATTTTGTCTTCTATTATGTCATTACATAGCCATTTATAGGTATAACCTCTGGAACACTCCACAGCTTCAAAAAGTCGTTTAAAGTCCAGAGGGTACATATTAGTTATTTTCATGTTTTTGTGTTTTCTTATTTTCGATAACAAATCCATCGCATCAACTGGACTTAATGAACTGCAAAAGAAATACAAAGATAATCTCATCAGTCCTTTTTCATAACAGCTTCCGATACAGACAAAACTTACTTCCAAGCCCAATCTGAACTTCTTAATTTCTAGAATGTAGCTGAAAACATGTCACTTCTATTATTCAATGCTAGTAGCTGCATATATTCCATGCTAAAAGCAACTCTGGTAGCATGCTGCCAACTATGTTGCATGACTAAAAGGTGTGTGATTTAAAACCATCAGCTGTGCCGCAGGGGCAGTCTTTTTCCATTATGAGACAGAGCTCCAAAACTGGAAGTTTGCTATGAGTGTCTTCACAGCTGTGGGCTTGGTTTATAGTGGCTTTATTACAGGCAAGCTCTCAGTTATGTTCACTCCTCGTCTTTTCTTGCTTATTTGTCATGAAAATGGCATACCTAAGCATTAATATATTCTTAATTCCACTAATACAGTATAATTCAGAATTCATTAACATAGTCTAATCATAATGGCCTCTTAAACGACGTCAGACTGAAGACTAAGGTGTGCCTGATCCAGGCTATAATCTCTGTAATTAACATGCTATGGATTGGAGAGTTGGACAGTGAATAGGAATGATGGAAAGAGAACTGATGCCTTTGAGTTGTGGTGCTGGAGAAGAGTGTTGAATATACCATGGTCTGCTAGAGAACAAACAGGTTTGTCCTGGAGAGGGTGAAGCCAGAATGGTCCTTGGAGTCTAAGGATTCTGAAGCTTCGTCTGACATACTTTGGGCATATTGCAAAGAGGGACTGGTCCTTGGAGAGGGACATCATGTTTGGGAGAGTGGAGGGACGACACAGGAGAGGAAGACCCTCGATGAGTTGGATCAATTCTGTGAGTGGAGTGGTGGGAATGAATGTGTTTAAGACAGCGAGGTTGGAGCAGGATAGAAAAGCGTTTAGGGCTGTTGTACATAGGGTCGCTATGAGTCACAAACGACTCAATGGCACATAACAACAACAGCAATCATAATGGGGATAGGTGTGACGGAGACAGTGACACTGGCTCGGGATAGGATAGGGTTCAGAGCAACTGTGTGTAGGGTTCCTATGAGTCTCAAGCTGTGTGCCAGCACAAAACAACAGAAACAATCATAATACTGCCACAAAATTCCAGTCTAAAATTGCTAATTAGAAAATTCTTCTGTTATTATCTTATCCTTTCACTCTCTTAGTAAACAGTGGGTGGTTCGAACCCACCAGCCACTCTGTGGAGAAAAACAGGCAGTCTTCCTACAGCCTTCGAAATTCAGTGGAGGATGTCGTTAGTTAAAATCAAGTCTACAACAATTGCTTAGGTTTTCAGTTTGCTTGGGGGGGGGGGGAGAAGGGTACCATTTTAACTTTAATTTTTTTGTTTACATTCTTAAATATTCTGCATGCATGCCAAATCAACGGTTCATTCATAGTAGTACATCATAAATAGTAATCTAATTAATGAAAAGTGATTTTTAACATTTTGCCCTCCTTCTGATAAGAGTTTCAAAGACTATGGGCTGCAATTCACAGTTTTTACACTTGTACACAGCTGTTGTTACGTTCCATTGAGTCAGAACCGACTCACAGCTGAATCACCCTCGGGAGTTTCCAGGCGTTGTAAACTGTATGAGAGAGACTGTCCATTTGTCTCTCACAACCAGCTGGTGTATTTGAACCCCATGTGTTTGGGCTGGCCATGTAACTCCTTACCACCAGGCTCACCAGGATGCCCAGATGTGTACACTATAAGACCTAGTGTATAAATCTTATTTGGATATAATCTCCAGATTAGCAGTTATAATTTCCATCATTCTTCCTTTAGAAACGGGAGCTCTGGTGGGGTTGTCTGTGGGAGCCGCACAGCTAAGCCAAAGGCGGTCCCTCTCTGGGGGTTTCCATCCTCCAGCAGCTGCTCGGGAGAAAGAAGGGTAATCTCTGCTCAGGCAACTTACAGTCTTGGAAAACCCACTGTGAGGTCAGCTTTGCGTCAAGACTTGATTACAATGAGTTTTTGAGTGAGTTAGACAGAAAAATACAGTTTGGTGCAGGGCAAGAGAATAAGTATTATCCTATTATAATAATATGACAATACTTAATACTTAAAAGTGTTATTGTATTATGATTTGCTGTGTATTCCCTACTTGCATCAGGAGAGGCTCAGACTGACAATAGGCAGATGGCAGGAAAGCAGCCAGGGGCACTGAGGCTCATGACCCCTGCTGTTGGAAGTCAGCTAGTTCTTTAAGGTTAGTTTGAATCTATGCTGACAGCGAGAAAACAGTCTGATATCCCAGGTGTTTTTTTTTTTTGCAGGGTAGGAGAAAAGACAAAATTCAGTGGGAGATCAAAACCAAAAAACAAAACCAAACCAAACCTCAGTGGGAGACTAAGTGAAAAACAGAATTGTTTTCTTTCTCAAAACATCCAGAAAGATTACTTTGGGTAAGTATGGGAGTGAAAATATAGCAGCATTATTCACCATCACAAGAACATGTAAACAGCCCAAATGTCCAACCGTAATAGAATGGACTGGACTGAGAAACGATGGTACATTCACACAATGGCGTACTATGTAGCACTCAGGAGCAATGATTTAAAGAACTACTACAATAACTTGGGAGGGACAGGAGAGCATTATACTGAGTAACCTCTGTCTCATAAAACCATTTTTTGTAAAAACAGAAGGATAACTAGTAAAACACGTATGGGGATTCAAGAGGATAAGGGGTGGGAGCAGAGGGGTGGGAATGGGCAGGGGGGAAATCATAGGGTCATACAATTTGATGGATGAAAGGAGGGAGGGTAAAGGAAATGGGAAAAATCTAATTCGGACCTGAAAAGACAGTTATTGTGGGCATAATTCAATGAGGATTAAGTTTATAAAACACAATGTATGGGAGTGATTGTATGAAACACAATGTAAATGAAGGGAACTATGAAACATAATGTGTATGAATTTTGTATGCAAACCAATATAAAAGAAAATATTTTTAAAAATATAGTTAACATAAAAAAGAATTCTCACTTTAAATTGCTACTTTCACTTTATTCTTTTTACTTACTGTAAATGGTCAACTAGATTGGCATTGCGTTTCACAAAACACTGCTTTAACATGTGAAAAAACACCTCGTAGTTAACAGGTGTTAAGTTTTCTGTAAATAAAGCTTTACGAGGAGTCATTTGAACAAAATACAGGTTTTGCTGTATTAGTTCTGCTAATTCCTGGAGAAGAGAAAAAGAAATTGTGTTAGTCATGAATGCTGCCAGAACAATTGCTGTATCCTCACACACTTCTTCCTTCCCTCATTCATTCATGTTTCCTGATAGAAGGGACGATTACCAGTGACCCTGGGAGCACTGTGTGCCATTCCTGAGTGTGTTGCTCCATTTTGGTCATTTCTCAAGGTGGCTGTCTCTCCTTGGGACATTGAATAGGCCTGTTTTAGGTGTCCTGTCAGACATGGATTCCCCAACCCTGTGTTATTCATCTGCAAGGTAAACCTGCATGGAGACCACTGAACGGAGACCACATCACCCACGGGGGCAGGGGCAAAAGGAACCAACAACAGGCTGCTGGCTGTGGTATCAGTAATATAGTCCTGTGACTCAGACACTTTGGGTCTTAAACAAGAATCGCTGAAATAGTGACATTCATTCAGATCATTCCAGAAGCTGGACTTTTTGAAGAAGAACGTGGCATCAAGACTGGAGGAAGAATCATCAGTGATCTGTGTTATGCAGATGACACAACCGTGCTTGCAAAACTAAGGAGGACTTGAAGTATTTGCTGCAGAAGGTCAAGGACTACAGTCTTCAGTATAGATTGACCTCAATATCAAGAAAAAAAAGATCTTCACCACCAGACTGTCAGGAAGTATCATGACAGATTCAACTAATTTTTATAATTTTGTTTGAACTTATTAAATAACTTTATTCTTTTTTTTTTAATACTACTAACAGTAGATCATTATTAAGCATTCTAGAAAAACTGAAAAAATTTAAAAAACAATTTTACATAAAGCATATATAAATATCCATGTAGATAAGCAAATATCTGATCATTACACTGCTCATCTTAAAAGTGCCAAAAAGAAATAAAGTATGTATAAATCAAATGAGAGGGCTAAATGGATTTGTTAAATATTCAACACAATGATTTTTAGATTTTTGAATGGACTTTTCAATCCCAAGAATGAGAATATAAAACAGAATATATGTAGCTCTTGATATATTTACTACCTGACTCTACACAGAAAAAGCCCGTCAGCCCTTGCTCTGGGATAGGATATGGTACAGACTGAAATAAACACTACGAGCGGATATAAGAGTAAAATGTCATTCCTGCAAAAATTACCCTTTAGATATGTGTGAATCCTTTTAAATTTTCACAAATAAGGTTGCTGTTGTGTACTGTCAAGTTAGAAGCAACCCCGAAGCGGCCTTCCGGCAGGTGTTCAGAAACAGTAAATCTCATGAGAGGAGACTGCCCACCTTTCTCCTGTGGAGCAGCTGGATTCAAGCCGTTTGTCTTTGTTGGCAGTGCGATTCCTCACCACTAAACAACCAGAACTCCCTCACAAATCAGGTAGAAATCCCTTATTTACTTTATTTTGAAACATAAAACAGTATTTATAGAAGATATATTAACCTGAAAATAGAAAATCTCAGTTGGTAAAAAATGAACGTAATACACTCTGAAAAATTTAGTAATTACTGATCAGTAGATGATCTCTGAATTGCCAAGTTCTAAATGCTGCTGTTAACGAGCCTTTTGGAAGTGACTTCAAAAAGCAACATGAAAGCGTTCTGATGTCTAGAATATATATTTAACTGAATGATCACTTGTAAAATTCCACTAATAGCATAAAAGTATGGCTTCCAAAAAAGTTTAATATCTCAAATATCATACATGGATATAAAAATAGGTTCTAAAAAACTGTTAAAAATCCCGAAGTGCTTCCACAGAAACTAACACACTGCTAGCAAAGATACATGTGTGTATATTTGAATACAATTCTCTAATGAAGTATGACATTTGATTATTTGATCTTTATCCCTACCTCTAATTCAAACTCATGTTTTCATTTCAGAACTGATTCATAGCTGAACCTTTAGCAGTGTATGTGGTTTTGTGGTTTTTTTACAAAGCTACTTTTAATACTTTGGGGTGAGCCTCACAGGAATAAAATACACTGGGAAGGGGTAACCCCCTCACTCCCTTATGTGGCCCAGAGGAGGAGGGGCTACCTGACGGGAAGAGAGCACCAAAAAGCCTTGCTGCAGACTCAGGGCTGAAGGAATGGCATTGGAGCTGGACCTGTAAGCACTACAGGAAGAAAGGCCAGCATGGTGGGCCTGGTTGAGGGACACAGCGAAGGGTAGGAGGGCTGGACACGAAGTCACACAGCTCTTTGGATTCCTCCTTCTTGTCTTTTTCTGCTTCAGCTGCATGATTTCCGAGTCCCTCTGCTTGCAAGCAGTGGTGGGAAGGCTGCCTTCTCCATGCTTTCCCTTAAATGAGCCGCTCTGCTTTTTCATATGCTTCTGGTGGTCTGGTGGACAAGTTTGCACTGGTTACTGTTGATGGCAGCGACTCCGGCCTGCCTAGGCTGCATCCTCTCATTCTGTCTGATGTTACAGGCCTCAAGTAGGTTTTTTGAAGGCTGTAAATCATACAGGAGGAAACTGCCAATCTTTCTCCCAAGGAGTCACTGGTGGATTCAAAACACCAGAGAGGATGGGCCTCTGGGTTAGCAGCACAACTCAACACAGACAACCCCGCCTGAGCTCCCTATCTCTACTTTTTGAATCTTTATCTTCTCATTAAGAAAATATCTTAAGTCCAACATCATAATAGATGTAGAAGAGATAGAAATTGTCAACAATTTCATCTTACTTGGATCCACAGTCAACACCCTGGGTACCAGCAACCAGAAAAACAGAAGGTCTACTGCACTGGGAAAGATGGCTGTTGGGGATCTGTCCAAAGTGCTGAAGAACAATGACATCAGTTTAAAGACCAAGTTGTGCCTGATTCAAACCACAGTCTTTTCAATCACTTGCTATACAACTGGAAGTTGAACAATCCAAAAGGATGGCAGAAGAATCAATGCTATTAAGTTGTGGTGCGGGAAAAAAAATACTGTATGTTCTATCGACCACCAAAGGAACAAGCAAGTCTTGGAAAAGGTGGAAGCCGTGTGCTCCTTAGTAGCAAGGAGAGTAAAACTTCCTCTCAGACAGATTATTACGAAGGCCTAGTCCTTGGAAAAGGGCATCCAACTTGGAAAGGTGGAGGGTCAGTAAAGGACAGAAGGCCCTCAATGAGTTGGCCTAACACAATGATGGTAACAGTTAGCTCAAATATAGCAGAGATGATTATGATGGCATAAGAAAGGGCAAGGTTCAGATCCATTGATCCTAGGGTGGCTATGAATTACAGATGACTTCATGGCATTTAAAAACAACTTAACCCCATTGTAAATTAAGCAGAGGAACTGACAATATATATCACCAGAGAAGACATTCAGATGGCAAACAAACATCTGAAGAAATACTTGACCTTACTAGCTATCACATACATGGTAATCAAAGCAATGAGATATTTTCTCATCCTAGCTATCAGGGACATCTCCAGAGTACTGAAGAGCAATAATGTCAATCTGGAGACTAAGGTACACCTGATCTAGGCCATGGTCTTTGCAATTGCATGCTATATATCAGGAAGCTGGACAATGAGTAGGAATGACAGAAGAGAATTGATGTTTTTGAGTTATGGTGCTTTTTTCCTGGAATTCAACCACGCAAGCAACACTGTTACAAGCAGAAAAGTATAAAATTCCACTTTTAGTTTATCAAATTAGTTAAATATTAAAGTACTAATTATTCTTTTCCAAATTCAAGACATATCTTTATTTCAAAAGAGATAAAAAGCTTAAGCCTTATACTGTGCTTACAGAAAGTGAGGAAGACCCGAAGCAGATACCGCAAAAGATGAAAGACTGCAACCTTCAGTATGGGTTACATCTCAAGATCAAAAAAACAAAAATCCTCCCACTAGCTCAATAGACAACATAACAGATCGGGGGGGGGCAACCCACCTGAAGTTGTCAGTGGTTTAATTTTATTTGAGTCCACAATCAACATCCATGGTAGTAGCATGTGCTGCCTTGGCAAAACCTGCTATCAATGACCTTTCTCAAGTTCTACAGAGTAAGGATGTCAGTTTACAAACTAAGGTGTACATGATTCAAGCCATGGTATTTTTATTTTTCAATTGCTTTCTATACATCTGAAAGTTGGACAATGACTAAGGATGAGAGAAGGATCCAGGCCTTTGAGTTGTGATAGTGGAGAAGAGTACTGAATATCCCTGGCCTGCCAAAATGACAAACACAACCCTGTCTCAGAAGAAGTGTAACCAGGAGGTTAGGATGGTGAAACTTCATTGTACATATTTTGGGCATGTCCTTGAAAAAAGACATCATGCTGAAGGGAGCTCTGACAGCCTAGTGGCAAGAAGCTGCACTGAAATCCCAGAGGTACCCGGTTCAAATCCACAAGATGCTTTGCTGGAGAAGGAGGGACAATCTCCTCCTGTACCAGTGAGATCTAATTTGACAGTGCATACACACACAAAATAATAATAATAATAATAATAATAATAACAACAATAATAATAATAGACAAGACACCATGCTGGACAAAGGAGAGGCTCGGAGAGCAGACAATACTCAGTGAGCTGGACGGACACACTGAGTACAGCAGTGGGCTGGTAGAGACTGTGAACAGCGCAGGATAGGCCCAGGTCCCAAACTGCTGTTCATACAGTGGATATGAGCTGTAGTCTGCTCAATGTCACACAACAACAGAACAATACAGTGCTAGACTCCACTGTCTAATAGCTGAAAAAAATACAATTCTTGCCTAATATGATGTCAATTTGTTGTTGTTGTTGTCATGTACCGTCAAGTCGCTTGCGACACACAGCAACCCTATGTACAAGAGCCCTAAACCCTGCTCTATCCTGTGCCAACCTCACCATCTCCGACACACTCACTCCCACTACCCCAATCACAGAATCGATCCATCTCATCGAGGATCTTCCTCTCCTGCACCGTCCCTCCACTCTCCCAAACATGATGTCCTTCTCCAAGGACTGTGCCCTCACTGCAACATGGCCAAAGTATGTCAGACAAAGCTTCAGAATCCTTGACTCCAAGGACCATTCCGGCTTTATTCTCCCCAGGACAAACCCGTTTGTTCTAGCAGTCCATGGTATACTCAATACTCTTCTCTAGCACCACAGCTCAAAGTCATCAATTCTCTTTCTATCATCCCTAGTCACTGTCCAACTCTTCGATGTATAGTATGTAACTGCGAAGACTATGGCCCGGATCAGGCGCACCTTAGCCTCCAGCCTGATGCTGTTGCACTTTAGTACTCTTGAGAGGTCCCTCACAGCTGACTTTCCCAATGCAATTCATCTCCTGATTTCCTGGCTGCTGTTACCAAGAGTGCTGACTGTGGAGCCAAGTAAACTAAAACTGTTAACTATCCCAATCTCTTCACCATCCATACTGATGCTGCCAATTGGCCCAGTGGTGAGAATCTTTGTATTCCTGATACTGAGCTTCAATCTGTATTGAAGGCTGCAGTCCTTGACCTTCTGCAGCAAACGCATCAGGTCCTCCTCAGTTTCAGCAAGCAGGGTTGTGCCATCTGCGTAACGTAGGTTGTTGCTGATTCTCCCAACAATCCTGATGCCACATTCCTCCTCGTATAGCCCAGCGGCTCAGATGATCTGTTCTGCATACAGACTAAAAAAGTATGGAGACAGAACACATCCCTGACAGACCCCCTTCTTGATTTTGAACCATGTAGAGTCTCCTTGTCCTGTTCTGATGACTCATGGTCCGGGTACAGGTTTGGCATAAGCACAATGAAATGTTCTGGGATTCCCATTCTTCTTAGAGTCAGCCACAGCTTGTTGTGATCCACACAGTCAAACGCCTTTGCATAGTCAATGAAACACAGATAGATATTCCTCTGGTACTCTCTGCTTTCTGCCAAGATCCATCTAACATGTCAATTTAGTAAAAGATAATACAAATCACACATTTGCTAAGTCAACCCTTCTACGTGCACAGTTCAGTGAGAGCAAATGCATTTATCATGCTGGGCGGCCATCCCCAGTGTCTGAACGCAGCAGCATGCATTCAAAGAGCATTAAAGCAAATCCAGACCAAATTCATCGCTATCTAGCAGCTTCTGACGCACAGTCACTCTCCTCTGGGTTCTGATCTCTGAAGCCGTCGATATTCACAGGAGGAAACTGCTCAGCTTTCTCCTTGGGAGCTGACTGGTAGATTCAGTGGAACAAGCACACAGACACACGGCTCACTCCTCCACCAGAGCTCCATTAAAGGACATGAACTATTCTAAAGGGAAGCCTGCTGGACTGGTTACAGGACAGGTGCTGCTGACCCAAAGGGAGCACCTTTCTCGTGGCTGGAATGCACCAGCCGCTCCAGAGGAGGAAGATCGGAAATCTCCTCTCATCTGATTACAGCCTGAAAAACCTGCTGGAGCATCAGCTGTGACTCGGCTCAGACTCGACGGCCCTGACTGAGTGAGGTATTCCAAAATCAAATTTAGATGATCACAGAACACCTGATGATCTTAAGGAAAATGAAGAAAAGTGTTTCCTCTCACCTTGCTCTTGATTTTATGCAGCTGCCCATTTTGGGTGTACAGGTCAAACGATGACCAAGGCTCCTACAGGGAAGGAGAAAGAAAGAATATTTCTTTTTAGTTAATTTGGTCAAAGTGCCCCAAATTATTGCTACTAAAAATAAATATTAGCATATACCTGTGGCATGCATTTTATTTCTATTAGACAAGTCTTATCTTGCCTAAAGAAATACACTAGAACACACAGAAACAGTCACTGAAAGAGGGTCACATAAATTTTTTAACAAAAGCAAATAAAAAGGGAAATGTTCTACAATGAAGTATAAAGCCAGCTTACAATTAATTACGAAACAAAACATGGTACTAACTAATATAAAGAAAAAAGAACAGGGAACAAAAATGATTGAAAATATGTTCCAATGTCAGTAGTCACCTCTTTGGGGTAGAAATGTAGTGATTAAAAATAAAAATTTCATTTCTTGTTCTTTGCTTTCACTGCCTTTTTTCACATGTTACTGATTTCACAATGAGCAGACGCTGTTGTTTATTCTGGCTTTATTAAAAACACAGCACCAAACTGCAAACAGTATAAAACTCTATCAACTCATGAATGGTTGAACGAATGTTAAAACAATTCAAAGATACACTATTTAGTCCAGATAATGTAAAAATGCTGATGAATCGTAAAATCGATTCATGGTTAATGGAGAAAGTAAAAAAGAAAAGGCTCCCTAGGAGATGATTTCATTCATACGACATGGATAAGAGGAAACAAAACTATAGAGACATAAATCAGATCACTGGCTACCAGGGGTCAAGTGTGGGGAGGAGGACACAGCCTACAAAGAAGCACAAGGGAACACGTGAGGGAGACGGGAATGTTCTGGCAGTTGGTTTGTGTGGTTGTTACATGATTGTGTCTGTTAATCAAAACTTGTTGATAAATATACTCAAAAAGACAGAGTTTAGTTCTATGTATATTGTTCCTCAATAGCCTGACTTAGGCACACACCCCTTGAGCACAGACACTGGCAGTTAAAAGAACTTTCTCTTTCCCATCTCAAAATCTCTGGATGATCGATGCACACCTGTCCATAGTCAGCTCTCTGCATAACAAAGACACAGGTGTCCATCCTGCATCATCTCCCTAGTCAGCCATTTGGCATTTTTGAGAGTCTGGAGGAAGAGTTTTCCTGGCCAATGGTGATGCCACCATAAATGTTGCACAGGGTTAGCTATGTCTTTCCTGTTCTCACACAATGCATAATAAATACTGTTGTATGCTGTTCAGGGTCTTCTGTGTAACTTGACGATGTTGCTGTTATGTGCTGTCGAGTCACTTGCAACTCATAGTGACTCTATATACAACATCTCTAAACCCTGCTCTATTCTGAGTCAACCTCACTATCTCCAACACACCTACCCCCATTACCCCAGTCACTGAATTGATCCATCTCATCAAGGGTCTTCTTCTCCTGCGATGTCCCTCCACTCTCCCAAGCATGACGTCCCTCTCCAAGGACTGGTCCCTCCTTATAAAATGCCCAAAGGATGTCACATGAAGCTTCAGAATCCTTGCATCCAAGGAGCAGCATGGTTTCACCCTTTCTAGCATAACATTAGGTTCAGGAATAATCCTTTCAGCAAACTGCCTGAGTTTGCAGAGAAGAGCAACCTCCACGTGAGGTTCCTCACATCCAGAGCACAAAGCTCCTGGAATACGAATGCTTTGATCTCAAAATCCCTGGCGTCAATCATCCTTCATCCATAACAAACACACAGATCCTGGTCAAAGCAATTAATCTTCACTTGAAACACCAATCTAGGACAGGCCCAGGAGTGTCAATTATAATCTGCTTCATGATCTCACTACCCCTTGGAATTCAATTCCTTCAAATGGCATACGTTACTCGAACATCCACAAAAATTTCCCCATTTGCTCAACCCCACAGCCAGCTTGCAGAGTACGTTCAGAGGCAGGAGTCAGGTAGAGGCACCGTGGACATCATTTCAAGGCACTGACTCTTCTTAGCACTGGCTAGACATAAGAAGCTGTCATTCCTGTCCAGACTTACTCTGTGCTATGAGGTTCTGGGGTGGACGTGCTGACACCCCAGGGAGATCCATTTCTTGGGTCTTGGATGGTCTAATAAACTCCACTGAACAGATTCCTTTTAGCAACCCTTCCTCTAGCCACAGTTCTTCAAATGTTTTTGTGAAAAGAGTTGAGAGGTTGGATGCTTCTGTAAGACTTGGACTCGATGGATGGACTCTACTAAGGACTACCTGATTAACTTGTTTAAAAGTGAATTAGCTGCTAACTCCACTACGTCATCTGTGTTACTAATAGAACCATCTCCTTGTGGAACTGTAGTGCTCTTAACACCGCAAGGGTCTTCCTGGGGGTGGAAGAGGTTTGCCTGTGTTGAGTGAAGTGGTGGCTGCCGAGCCTGCATCAACTCTCCACCACCCTAAGCAATGGCACAGCTGTAATCAACAGTGTTTTCATAACTGGAAAAAAAACTCAGCACACCATTACACTGACCTATTATATAACAATAACCATTAGACTGTGGGGGAAATGATAAAATTAACTTTCTATTCGTGTATCTTTTTTCACTTACAGGTCATAGCAATGTCACCATCTAAAAAGCCAAGGCCGCTTTCTCTCACAGACCTGAAGGGCTCTACTCACCATGTGCAGAAGCCTGATGTTACAGGCCACTTGCCACAGCACACTTAATACTTGATACAAGTTTCCATCCGTGGGTTTTGCCATTAGTTTCTAATAAATAAAGACACTTTTTTAAGTATCAAATACAATTTTAATCACTCAAAAACAAATGTTAATGGTAATATCTTAGTAATAACTAGTATCCTAAGTAAACAAAATGAGAAATACACATGAAAAATTGTAACCTTAACTGATGTAAGGACAAGAGTCTTAAATTTCCAGGTTGAGAATTTATCATGTACACTGGTAGCCTAGTGGTAAGAAAGTACACTACAATCCCAAAGGCACACGGCTCGAATCCACCAGCTGCCCCATGGGAGAAGGATGGGCAATCTCCTCCCACGTGATTTACGGCCTCAGAAAACCCGCTGGAGGGTCAGCAATGGTTGGTTCCAACTTGACAGTACATAACAATAACAACAACAACAACACACTTAAGATGTTATGTAGGTGGTGGCTGAGTTTCCTTAATAATCTCATCTATCAAGGCAAAAATATCATCATTTAGTTTTGAAAGTAAATAAATAAAAAGAAATAATCCCTGCCTTTGTGGCTCTTGCAACCCATAAACCAAAACACAAACCCACTGCCCTGGAGTCAATTCCATATAAGGGGAACCCTATGGAAGGAATGGGGTTTTTGAGGCTGTAAATCCTCATAGATCATCCAGCATCGTGCCAGGGAGCAGTGGTGGATGCAGTGTCAGCTGCATGAGTTACTGTATTTCCAGGGCTCATCATAGGCTAGAAAAAAACATTAGCTTGTGATACCTTCTGTGTAGAACAAAACCAAAACTATGCCAATCTCAACTCGCAGCAACCCTGCAGGACATGGCAGAAGTGCCCCACGGTGTTGACAGGGCTGCAAGCTGAAGGGACACGCACTGCTACGTCTTCTTCAGAGGAGGGGCTGCTGGGTCCAAACCACCCAAGGTTTTGGTTAGCTTAACCAGTGCAGCAGCAAGCTTCCGCTGGAGGATGTGGTAAAACATGCTTATGGGGGACCTATTACGTTTTGAGCCACGAGTTGATTAAGCAACATGTAAAATGAGGAAGTGGTTATCCCAGGAATGAGGGCAGTAGAGAGAGGTGAAAAGGCAAAAGCAGGCTAGGTAACTGGAGTCTTTTCCTAAAAGCAAAATGAAACCTGATGAACCATTTCTTATTTCTCCTTCCTTCATTCACATACAGCACGGATGGCCACCAGCTTTTGGCCACTCTGCTTCTTTTAAGGTCAGTCCCATTTTCTTACTATCTGGATCTGGTGCGTAATTCACTCCTTCCTGCCCTTATCCAAAGCCTCCACTACCTTATAAACAACTAATTAGTAATTCCTGCTGTGTCACATTTGCAGGTTAGTTTTATGAAACATTCCAGGCAGAACGAGAATGAGAATTTTAAGGCAGTGAAAAGTACTTCAAGAGATTATTTCATTGCATAAAATTAATAAATAATAAGCTAACTGCCACCAACTTGACATCAATTCACAGTGACACGATGTGTGTTTTAATGGCTTTTCAACAGCTGATTTTGCAGCAGAAGACTTCGTGGTATGCCAACTGCCTCAAGGAGGAATCAAACTGCCAGCCTTTTGGTACAGATGAGTACACTAAGTGTGTTCACCACTCAGCAACAAAAGAGAGTAAAACTGTCATTGCTGTGGAGTTGGTTCCAACTCAGTGTGCCCTGCCAGTGGGCTTGGGGCTGTAAATCACAGAAGAGGAGACTGCCATTTTTCTCCTGCAGAGCTGCTGGTGGATTTGAACCATCAAAGAAGTGGGAAGCCTCTGGGTTGAACTCTTCACAGACTACGCCACCAGAACTCATGAAGAGAGGAGAAAGCAGAGTCTAAACATGGTTCTACAGAAATTTCAAGTGGTATTCTCAAATGACATGAGTGCTATAATAAATCAGACAGATTAAGGAAGGCTACTCAGAGAAAAATTATAGGAGCTTTAAAAAAAAAAACTTTTTAAAATGTTCATTACATGGAATGAAGTAAGTATAGATGAAAGAAACAAAAATAACAGAAAACTTATTATATATTAGTTAGTAAACCTACCTGGTATTCTTTTTCGCTAATAAACATATTTAGTTCTACTCGTCCATATCTATATATAGAAGTACAGGAATACAGGCTATAGATGAGTTTCCAAAGTGCTTTTTTTTCATTTTTCATGGGGAAAATTCCAAATACTTTTAAAGGAATACCTGTTTAAGAATACAAACAAAAATATCTGAATAAAGTTCTTTACCCTTTTATTCCTATGGTCAGATTGTGTTTTTTAAAAAAGAGAAACTTTTTCTTAGTTTTTAGTATTAAATTTTTTAAAAAATTGGAAATTTACATGTAATCATTTACAGACCTTATATCATTAATCTACCTTAATTGATGTCATTAACTTATTACTACGTCCACTCAACCTATGCCCATACTTTATTGTACCAAACCAAGCTGACAATTTCTATTCCTTTAGCTTACTCCAAGGCAAACCAAACCTAAACAACTCTCTCTGAGATGGAACTTGCTCTCATTATTTCCGCCAGGTGAGGAGATGTCACATTCAACTTCAGAGACCTGTTTCGAAGGTGTGCACTATCAACTGTACACAAAGCTCTTCAACACACCAGCTGGACTACTATTTCTTGGCCTTTGGCTACCATCTCACTAGCTTTTTTTCTTATCAGTTTAGTATCTGTGTCCTCTATCCGAGGACAATGTAGTAAGTGGATTTTGGGGATGAGGAGATGGACTAGGAGCTGGCTCCGTCCACTTCACCTACCTACCTGGTACTGCAGTCCCTCCAGAAATGTGGAAGTCCCTCGAGAGGGGGAACTAAAAATAAAACACCCAAAACAAAAACCCCGCTGTGCTGAGGGAGAACTGCCAAGTCACAGGCATGTGCCCTCATGAGTGACAAAAATTACCTGCTGACCAAGGGAACCCCTCTATTTCCAGATCATGGAAAAGCGTCTGGGAAAGCACAACGGGTGGTTTCACGAGACCACTATTCTGAGGGTCCATTTTAAAGAAGTCACAGTGGACCACATCAAGTTTCCCATGGTGTTGTTTTCCTAGGGACTAAAGAGAGAAAGAGACAACATGTTAAGCAATGTCAGTTCTTTGTAGTTTCACTAGCTCACTGACCTCTAGATAGAACCGACCCACAGCTGGTCCCAGTGGGCGTTCCTCTGCTGTGAAGTGCAGAGGAGACTTCCCCGCTCTGTCCTGCAGAGCCGCTGCAGGATGTGAACCACCAGACAGGTTAGCAGTCTCCAGGTTAGCAATGAACTCCCTATTCACTTTGGAACAATTCAAAGATCTACTATCACCCCAATACAGGTTGTTGTTGCTGTTGTGCCATCGAGTCGTTTGCGACTCATAGCGACCCTATGTACAAGAGCCCTAAACGCCGTTCTATCCTGTGCCAAACTTGCTGTCTCAAACACATTCATTCCCACCACTCCACTCACAGAATCGATCCATCTCATCGAGGGTCTTCCTCTCCTTTGCCGCCTCCCCATTCTGCCAAACATGATGTCCGTCTCCAAGGACCAGTCCCTCCTTGCAACACGCCCAAAGTATGTCAGACGAAGCTTCAGAATCCTTGACTCCAAGGAGCATTCTGGCTTCACCCTCTCCAGGTCAAACCTGTTTGTTCTCCTAGCAGTCCATGGTATATTCAACACTCTTCTCCTGCACCACAGCTCAAAGGCATCAATTCTCTTTCTATCATCGCTATTCACTGTCCAACTCTCTGATGCATAGCACGTAATTGCAAAGACTATATCCAATAAAATACAGGTACTGAGAAAATATTAACACCACAGTCCAATATGTAACAAGAGAAGTAAAAATTTACAACAAGCGAAGAAAGATAATCTTATCACTAAAAAAAGAAAACCAACCCAAAACCCAACACCACCACCACCACTTCCAAACGATGAACAGGTAAAAGCTAATAAAGTTTCCCTTCTCCTCCATTTAATGTTCTCCACAGCTTCGTAACACTCATGCTTGCTCACCAGCTGATTCCTGAAGCACTGGCAAACGTTCTGCAGCCACATCTGGGCTCAAGCAGGAAGCTGTGATCTACCTGATCTGTTAGGTCATTGCACAGTCTTCATTTCCCCCTCACTTTTAAAATTTGCCTTTTTTAGAGAAAGAGGCATCTGTGTAAGGGCAGTGCCTTGTCCACTGGAAGAAGCCTTAGTCTATTGGCTTATCTTATAGGGCGCTCTGGTTGCTTACTGATATAAGCAGCTGCATGGCACTCCTGAAGACATGTGGTTCCAATCAACCAGCTTCTCCAAAGGAGAAAGATGGGCAATCCCCTCCCATATGATTAACTGCATCTGAAAATCTGCTGGAGGGTGAGTCATTGGTTAATCTAACCCAACGGTACACAACAATAGCAGCACTAGAGCTGCCTAGGAGTGGGAGTAAGTATTAGTTACAGACTCTGTGAACTTTACATTACTAAAACTACACACTTTTAGAACTTTACATTCATGTTGTTATGGGCTACAGAGTCACCTGCAACTCATAGTGGTAATATGTACAACAGCCCTAAACCCTGCTCTACCCTGTGTCAACCTTATTGTCTCTGACACATGACCCCCAGTACCCCAGTCACTGAATCAATCCACCTCATCAAGGGTCTTACCCTCCTGTGCTGTCCCCTCCACCCTCCCAAGCATGACATCCCTCTCCAAGGACTGGTATCTCCTTGCAACATGTCAAAGTATGTCAGACAAAGCTTCAGAATCCTTGCCTCCAAGGAACAGACTGGTTTCACCCCCTCCAGGATGAACCTCTTTGCTCTCCCAGCTGTTCATAGTATATTCAATACTCTTCTCCAGCACCACAGCTCAAAGGCATCATCTCTCCTTCTATCATCCCTAGTCATTGTCCAGCTTTCTGATATTAAAGAGGAAAAAGATTTGCCTTTTTAATGATACAAATAAAATTATGATAATGATAGAATGGGGAGAATAACTATATTTCACTGCTGAAATGTAAAAAATACTCTGATCCTCACTGGTGGGAAATTCATGTTTTTACTTCATGTTAACATAGCAGAAGTGTCCCATAGGATTTCCAAGTTGGGAGTCTTTACAGACATCAATGGCCATCTTTGTTGCTGAGTGTCTACAGGATTGAACTGCTGACCTTCTGTTTAGCCTCTGACCAGTCACTGCATGTACCATTAACTTCTCCACTCTTCGAAGTATCCCTGTTAAGCCTTAAAATGCTCTGAACTACAAAAGAACAACTTTTTAAAAATCTGACAGTATGACTGAATTGCATTTTCACAAAACAAAAAAGTTCATAGATAAAGAATGTGTGCATGTAGACACACACCTATATCATTAAAATTCTGGTCAGTGGAAAATGAAAACAGAATTAATCATTGCAAATGAAAGCATATCAGCATAAATAGTCAAGTTTAGATTCTGAAAGCTAAATATACCAGAGATTAAGATTTGGGACTCTTACATATTAATTTTAACCAAAAGCTGTGTAGGAAATGGAAAAGACTTGATAGCATCACAGACACAAACACGAATCATACAGACAGGACCCTGCTCTGGAACCTAGCTCTTCACATGATCTGCATGTCCCTGAGTACGTCTTTTTTTCCCCTTTTCTAAGTGTGTACACTGTCAAATTGGATCTGACTGGTACAGGAGGAGACTGTCCCTCCTTCTCCAGCAGAGCATCTGGTGGATTCGATCTGCACGCCTCTGGGATTGTAGTGCACCTTATTGCCACTAGGCCACCAGAGCTCCCTCTGAGTACGTCTTTAAACTGTCCTCCCCAAGTTTCATTTCTTTGCAGGGTGCCATAAAAAGAAATTTCTGAAAGAAATTTGAAAGCTAAAAAGGACCAACAAGTACTATAGTACTTGGATATAATCTAGCAGATTTGCACAATTTGATGGCTTTTCAGTATTTATTTCTATTTTCAAGAATCCACTTACTTGTTCAGCAAATATTTATGGAGGGCTATTTGTCCCAGACACTCTCTGGTATGTGATGGAGAGAAAGAAGTGAAAGTGGCTTATGACAAGTGTGATGACCATCAATCCTAGATATAGGATGCTTCTGATTGGAGGGTTCAAAACCAAGTAAAAAGGAACAGAGGAAAGCAAAGAGAAATAAAATTTAAAACTACAAAATACCTACAACCAGGAGAGAATAAAACTGACAAATGGGACCTTTTAAGAACTGAATCGGTATGCACATCAAAAAAACTTCTTCAACAGGGTAAAAAGGAAACCCACAGACTGGGAAAAAATATTTGGTAATGACATATCTGATATGGGACTCATATTCTTTTATTTATTTTTAAACCTATTCTTAAGATGATCTTGAAACTCAGATGGAATTGATTCAATATCATATATAGGTTCCTGTGGACTTATTTTCATTTTCTTTGGCCTGAATTTGAACTTGTATGAGTAATTGCTGATCTGAGAGACAGTCTACTCCTGGCCTAGGTTTGACTGCCTATACAGAGCTTCTCCAACAATTTCTTCCACAAGTGGAGTTAATCTGATTCCTTTGCAGCCCATCAGGTGAGATCCATGTGTAAAGTCATCGTTGTGGCTTTTAAAAGGAGTATTTGCAATGAATAGGTAATGGAAAATACAAAATTCATTGAATTTCCAGCCTCATTTCTGTCACCTACAAAAAGGAGCCCGGGTAGCACAATAGGTAAGTAATGTACTGCGACTCAGAGGGTGAGCCTCATGAGACAGACTGAAGCTACTGGCTCCACAACCAACGCTCACAGTAACAGCAGTGAAGAAACCCAAAGATTCGTTGCACTGGGAAAAATCTGCTGTCAAGGACTTCTTCAATGTGCTAAAGAGCAAGGATGTCAGTTTAAAGACTAAGTGGCACTAGATCCAAGCCATGGTGTGCTCAATTGCTTGCTATGCATCTGAAAAGTTGGACAATGAATAAGGATGACAGAGAACTGGATTTTGGATTATTTTTAAGGAAATCCTCCAGACTGCCATCATGCTGGGAAAGGCAGAGAATCAGAGAAAGAGCACAATATTCTCAACAAGATGAACCAACTCAGAGACTGTAAGAATGGGCTTGAGCACATCCGAGATTATGAGGAAGGCATAGGATAGGGCAAACTTCCAATTAGCTGGTCAGAGAGTTGTCCTGAGTTGTGGATGACTTGACAACTAACACCCTCAATAGGCTGGTGAGCACACTCGGTAGCTCCTGAGGAGAAAGATTTTATCATCTGTGAGAAAATCCCATGGGGTTGTACTACTATCAAGTCACGGTGGTCTGATCTGAAAACTAAATTAACTTGACTTGACAGCATCCAACACCATCACGTTTACTAAATCCCATCTCAAGGTCTTGAGTCTATTAATAACCTGGTGAGATCCCTGAAACCCTTTCCTTGCTGTCACCCAAAATAAACAAAACTGTCAAAAAGATAAGAAAATAGCATTTGTACACTTTTTGTTGTCATCCTGGACTTGAAACTGGCATACAGGTGCTTGGCTGCCTACCAAAGGGCTCAGAGTTCAAATTGACCAGCTGCAAGACGTGGCAGTGTGGTTCCATAAAGTTTCTAACTGGTAATGTTTCCATAACAATTATACCTAGTGGTAAAATGCTTGGCTGCTAACCAAAAGGTTGAAAGTACAAACCCGGTGAAGGAATAAAGACATGGCAGTTTACTGCCATAAAATGACAGCCCTGGAGACCCTGAGTAGTAACTGTAGTGTGCCACTCCTATCCGAGTGCACACTCCTGTCCCCAGTGTGCACTCCTGCCCCAGAGCCCGCGAGCTCCCACCCAGCATGTACTACGAGGCAGAATGTGTCAGAATTGACTGAATGTCAACAGGTTGTTTTCAGGTTTTTTCCATTTTCAATTCTTCTCTATAAAAATACTATTTTTTTTTTTTTTTTTAAAAATGCCTCTGGATGATGTCTTAAGGGCGGTGTAGTGGTCTTCTGGTAAGAAGCCGAGCTGCATCTACAACCAGGAGAGGATGAAATAGATGAACGGGACCTTCTAAGAAGCAAATCCCTATGCACATCCAAAAACTTCTCCAACAGGGTGAAAAGGGAAGCCACAGACTAGGAAAAAATATTTGGTAATGACATGAAATAGCTTGCCTTCGGAAACCCTATGAACCTGGAGAAAGAATGAAAGTTAGACAAGTGTTCAGGTCTTTTGTTCATAATGTCACTATGAGCCATCTATGACTCGATGGCACTTAACAACAACAGTAACAGAGAGAGAGAGCTCAGATGGCCTAGGGGACAAAAAGTGATGCTACCAACTCAAAGGTGGGTGACTTTAATCAGTAGCCCTCAGGCCTCGTTTTAATTGTTTTTGGTGAAACATTCTTCTAGGCCGTATAACCCTGGTCTGTCCACTTGCTGTACAGAGGTAACCTGTGGTTGACTGTGACACTGATGTGTAAAATGCGATAATGGTCAGCCATGATAGACAGTGTTTGGTGGAGCTCCCCAAGAAAAACAAACTTGGAAGCAGGAGTGGCATCTACTTCCAAAATAGCCTGCCTCCAGAAACCCTATGAACCTGGAGAAAGGATGAAAATATTGTAAGTGTTCAGGTATTTTGTTCATAGGGTAGCTATGAGTGGCCTACAACTCATTGGCATTTAACAACATGTCAGAAAAGGGATTTATATTTAGAATTTATAGAACACTCGAGCAGCACACAGGATAAAGGTAAACAACCTTATTGAAAAACGGACACAGGATATGAACAGACACTTCACTAAAGACGATATTCATATGGTGAACAAACACATGAAGAAATGTTCAAAATCCCTCGCTCTAAGAGAGATGCAAATCAAAACAACTAAGATATCATCTCACCTCAGTAAGAATAGCAAAATTTAATAGAACAGCAAACATCAAATGCTGGCGAGGTTACAGAGAAACTGGAACCCTTAATCACTGTTGGTGGGATTGTAACATAGTACAGCCACTCTGGAAGGCAGTATGACACTTTCTCAAAAAGTTGGAAATAAGAAATACCATCTAAAATTAAAAAAAAAAAAAAGAAATACCATCTGACCCAGCAATTGCACTACTGGGAATATACCTTAAAGAAACCAGAACTGCCACCCTAACAGACGCATGCATGCCCATGTTTATTGCTCACTGTTGACAATAGCAAAGAGATGGAAACAACCCAAGTGCCCATCAACAAATGATTACATAGAGAAGCTGTGGTATATTCACACAATGCATTATGCAGCACTGAAAAACAAAGAACTCACAAAATACTATACAAAATGGGTGACCCTGGAGGACATTATGCAGAGTGAAATATCTCAGTCACAAAAAGACAAATACTGTATAGTGCCACTATTATATAACAGGACTGGTATGGGGGTTGCGCGAAAACAGAAAAGAGGGAATACATAATGTACATGGCATTGAAACAGAGAAGAGAACTCTTTAAAAGGAATATATGATTAGGTATTATTGGCATGACAAGAGTCCAGAATAAGAGTTGCATAGTAAAGTGGTGGGGGAGGGGGAAGGGGAGTATATACTAATGAAACGACTTTTTTTTCCAAAGAAAAAAGCTGACTGGCGGGAGGGGGCAGGGAGACAGGGAGGAAAATGTACAACAATGAATGAATGGAAATCCAAGTTCTTTATAAACTATCATTAAAATACTAAAAAAAAGAGATATGATCCCTAGAAAGCATTCTATAAAAATAAGTCCTATTTTAAATTCAATTAAGCCTACTAAATCCTAACCTATTCAAATAGAGTGACTGAACAATCAATCAATCCTTAGAAAATAATTTTTTAAAAAAACCCACAAAACACCACGAAGTCATTTACCTCCAAATGTGGAATAAAGGTTCTCTCACTTTCGAGTGCAATCACTCTGGCCCCCGTTTCAAGTAATGCCTGGGTCAGGATTCCAGGACCTAGTACGTTAAGACGGAAAAAGAAAGTTTATTTGCAAGAAAATGGAATCTATTTCAGGAATACTTGACTCAAACTTTTCATCGAGTGTCTTACACAAATTATCAGATTTTAAGAGTCATTGTAACTCTTAAACTATTAGGTTGGATTTGAATCCATTCTACCTGTGGTTCCAAATCTCACAATGTTTCTTACTTCTCCGAAGAAAAATTAACCAGCCAGCTTTCTCTAGCCTACCTCTTATAAGGTATCGGATGTTATAAATATCAAAGATACTGTCAAATCCGCCCCTTAAAATGTCATTAGACATCCTAATATAGGCGATACACCTAAAAATAAAATGGGCGTCGAACTTAAAGGTCTTTTGAGGAGACGAGACCTAAGAGCATGCTTTACATAAATACAGCGGCATTACGATTACAACACAGATCACACAAGGACATGTTGTGGGCACGCTCTGCAAGTGTGCCGACGGAAAGAAAGGGTAATTTTGCAAGCTGCGCCACCCCTTTCCCCACGCCCCCGGTCATTAAAATCAGCAGAAATGCCTAACGCCCAAGAAATGACAGTCCGGTTGGGCTCACCTGGGTTGCATTCCAGGACAACCTGGGGAGTATTTTGCTTCTCCTGCAATAAAAGTGCTAAGATCCCAGCCAACTTCCTGCTGGTTATATAACGCTTGTGCTCCAGGCGACACCTGTGTACCGGAGACGATTCCACCGGAGAAGGCAAGGGCTGCGGCCTCGAATCAGACAAGGCCCTGCGCAGGGCCTCCGAACACTCCTTCCGCCTCACAACTCTGGGTCCCAAAATGCACAAGGCTCCAGCGCCGGTCACGGCGGAGAGGGTCAGACGCGCAGAAAGCGCCGCCATTGGGACCCACATGCTTGGCAATCACAAAGATCATTCAAGGCCGCTACCTCGGTGAAACCCGTGCCTGACAACCCACGTGCAACTTTGCCAGGCAGCCAGAAGGAGGGCGGAAATAAACATCAAAGACTTCGCATGCGCACCACCACGCCGAAGGGCCTTTCGGCCTCACTTCCTCTTCCGCCCCGACTCGGCCGCCGGAGGATTGTGAGTGGCGGGACGAGGCGTGGGCTGTGTTCGCATGCTACTCTATGGTAGTCCGCCGGCCTGCGCGTCCTCTCTAGCCGCCAACGCTCTATGCCCGCGGTCGCGGGCCGCCGGCCACAGAGCTCCAGCCGGGAGGGGTACGCGCAGGAAGGCGGGGCGGGAAGCGAGAGGTGTCTCCTCCGCCGGGGCCTCAGGAGACCTGGGCGAGCTCGGTGACAGCTCAGGGGCCGCCATGTCAGCGAGTGGGGCAGGGGATGGACCCGGAGGCCGGCCGTAGCCCTCCTTTCGTCTCCGTTTCCCAGGTGAGAAGAGGAGGATGCAGGAGATGCAGGGGACCCGCGGGTGGCGGCCGAGGTAGCTGTCCCTTCGGAAGACCCTCGCTCCTCCTCCTGCCTGTCCTCCTGCGGCAGCGCCGCCTCTGTCCTCCAGCGCCTCTGCCCCGGGGAGGTGGCGCTCGAGCCCGGTCCGGGCTCCTGTTTTCATGTTTCTGCGGCCACAGCCATCGGTGCCCGCGCACCGTCCCGGCTGCTCCTTGCTCCGGGGACTGGGGTTCGAGCCCGCTGCTTCTCCCGTGACTCTTCTTCCCCATCCCATTCGCTGCACCTCTTCTTCACTCTGGTTGCTTGGGTTTTATTTGATCTCTCCATACCCTCTCCTCCTTCCCCACCTTGATTGTCTCTTCTCCTTTCCTGTCTCTGAGCCACTAGTTAGCTTTTTTTATTTCCACTCCGCGCGTGTATTCGATGGTTCTTTACACCTAGAGGATTAAGACTTTTAGAAAGCGAGTGTTATTCCCTGTGTTAACTTAGACAATCCAGTAGTTTTGTGGGATGCATTTTAAAAGACCAATCCACAGATGGTCCAACGGGAATGTTGGCAGTCTTTTTACCTTTTGAGTAATATAAGAAGACCCGATTCTTAAAAGGTAATTTCTATGTGTAAGGATTGTTTTCAAAAAAGAGCTGCACCGATTGGTGTCCACCAAAGTAGAAAATTGCAGCCCAGTCAACTCTCTGCTTTGAAATATATACAATCCTTTCTGCTTACTGTACTGGGAACGTCACTGAACATTTTAAGTGCGCTGGGTACTCTGGAATGTGTCACCTGACACATGGAAGTCCTAAGAGCCTTCCCAGCTGGGAAACTTAAAATTAGTATCTTAGTATGGCCTTTCTAGAACTAAAAATTGGGTAGGGCACTATAGAAAGTTACTAGTAGATTTTTTTTTTTAGTGGTGATTTGTGTGTGTGTGTGTGGTTTTGTTTTGTTTTTAAATGTTTTTGGATTAAGTCTTTTGGAAAACTTGGGGTCATTGTTCTTAATTTCTTTTTCCCTATACAATTTCTTCATTGACAGTCTTCTTGAACTGGTTTGTGCATCCTGTGAACACCTGAAAAAGCATTTTTCCCGTAGCCGTTGCTCCCATTGGTCTTAACTATTTAAAAAAAATACTAAATTTCTCTCCCAAGAGCCCTGGAATCCTAAATATTTTAAAATCCATTAAAGCAGAATAATGTCTTAGAATAGAGGAAGAGCATAATTCACTCATGGTAGATTGTAATTGGCTTTCTCACCTTCAAAATATGCCTACTTTAAAGCATGCTTTCATAACAGCTGTGGACCAGAGGTAGCTTAGTCAGCTCTAGAGAAATGAATCTTCTGCTTTTGAGTGGTGATTGTCCTTTTCTTCTGTTTTTGAAAGGAGACTGTGTGTTTCTCTTTCTTTGAGCTATTAGATGTGTTTGTTGGCTGTTAAAGGTGCTTGAATAATAGAGGTAGAAGCTTACACTGATTTTCTGAGGTCCCAGGTGCTAGAAATGAAGGGGTGGGGAATGTTAATTTCCCTGTAAAGGTCAACCTTAGACTCAACATTATGAAAACTTGGTTTATATCCTTGCCACTTTATTTTCTTAATAGGTGTGGTTTTGCATTCTGTTCTATTTCTGGCCCTTTGAAGTGCAATTATCTTTCTTTAAATTGGTGGCAAAGCAAACTGATTTTGCTGATTATTTTTATTACGTTTTCAATTAAATTGGATGGGAAGGGGAAAATACAGCTTTTCCCCTTTGGCTATCAAATGGCAACAGTAGTTGGGAAATACCAAGTGAAACACTGAGGAGCCCTGGAGGGTTAGTGTGTAACTTACTGGGCTGGTCTGTATCTTCTATCCACCAGCCTCTCCTTGGGAGAAAGTCTTCTTAGAAAGATTTACGGCCTTGGGATCCAATGGGGGGTTACACTGAGTCAGTAAAGAATCAGAGGCAGTAGAGTTTGGGACTAAAATGTTTAAACTTGGTGTCTATTTTAGGAACCCTCGTGGCTTACTCCTGAGGGAGCCTTGCTGCTAAGCCAGAGTCTGCCACTCTCTGGCAGTTCAAATTCACCAGAGGCTCTATAGGATAAACATGGCAGTCTCCTCCTAAGAGATTTACAGCTTCGGGAGCCCAGTGGAAGGTCAGCAAGGAGTCAGTGGCATTAGAGAGGTCTGATGCTGAAGTAGATTACCCTTTAATATCCTGAGCTACAGATCCCAGAAAAGAAGAAAAGGAAGTTCATTTCCTTATGAAAGTAAACCTTAGAATCAGTATTATAAAAATGTTGGTTTATGTATTTTCCACTTAATTTTATTAACAGGTGTAATTTTACATCCTGTACTATCTTTAATCATTTCAAATGAAATGTTTTTGTTGTTGTTATGTGCTGTCGAGTCGCTTGCGACTCATAGTGACCCTATGTACAACAGCCCTAAACTCCGCTTTGTCCTGTGCCAATCGCACTGTCTCTGATACTCCCATCCCAATTATCCCAGTCACTGAATCAATCCACCTCATAGAGGGCCTTCCTCTCCTGC